GGGGCACCGTGTGAGCCCTGAGGCCCACCCATCAGAAGACGACGGCTTCCCCCAGGCGGGGAATACTCTGGAGAAGCAGGTTCTGCACAGAATGGAGCTTCTGGGTTCCTGTCAAGATGGTGCTTCTGGATCCTCTGCCCAAAACCAACCCTGAAGAAACTACAGAAGTCAAAGGGAAGTACGAATTCTGGGAACTGCCAATCACAGGATCCCTGGTGACCAGGAACCCCGGAGCTGGAGGTGCAGGGGAGGCAGCTGGCTGCAGCCAGGGAGAGGCTTCCCCGAGGGCGTTGCATAGGCTGGGGACAGGCTGCGGACAGGCTGCTGAGTCTGCTCCTGCCTCTCCCGGATGTTGCTTTGGTGTGGGCATTGCTGCTTTTCACTGTAGAGACCTGCTCTGTGCTGCCGGCAGGGAAAAGTCAGGGCAGTGCAAAGCCTTGCTGGGGAAGAAGATGAAAGCATGAGGTGGCCAGGGGCCCACGAACTCTCATTCCCACCCTCCCACACTGTCCAGCCCCCGGGCTGGTACACGCAAGGTAAGGAGACTGTATCCTCAAAATGAATCATCTTCCAAAGAGTTCAAAACCTGACTGGGAGATGCTTGGTGGAGGAACAGCAAAGAGGATGGGGTGCTGAGCAGTGGCTCTGCGGTTCCTTGGGCTCCCTTCACACTAAGGCTCGTCCCCTCTCTCTCCTTAAATTTGCCAAGGCTGACATGGGCTGGGGCTGGACCTTAAGCCCTCCCACATCACAGAACACCAGGCAGAACCATCAGAAAAAACAGTCTCGCCACTCAAAATGATGAGACACCTGAGCGTTGTGGCTGTTATAAAAGAGAAACAACAGCTGAACAACATTCGGCACCTTAAGCAGGACTGCTGGCAGAAATGGAGCAAAAGTAAAAGAATAAAGCATGTTAAATATCTTTAAGGAGATAAGGAAGATATTAGCAAGTTAAAACAAGAAATACAAGGAAAACAAGAAATTATAGGGAAGCAGAGACGTAAGTTATGAAAAATCTACTAGTAAAAATAACTTGCGGTTTAGGATAAAGAGAGGGATGGACACAGGTAAAGACTAAGTGACTTGGAAGTTTAGTTTGAAGCAGTCTCCCAGAAGGGTGAAGTGGATGAAAGGAAGGAAAATATAAAAGAAAATATAAACTAGATAGAAGATATCAAGTGCCAGCATACAGATAAGAAGGATTCTAGGAGGGTAGGTAAAGATTAAAGAGATGAAAATATTTGAAGGCGTGATTAAGATAAAATTCTCAGAATTAAAAAAGAGGTGAAAGACCTCAGATTGAAAGAGCTCATAGACGGTCAGGTAGGAGAGAGGAAGAAAAACTGATACCTCTACATACATTACAGGAAAATTTATGAGAATTTCCAAGTGTAATTTTCTAAAGTTAAATATGTGGTTATCATACAAAGACAGTATGGGCGAGAGTCAAAGATTTTTTCCAACAAGGACTAGTACGAAGGTAAACTTGTTCAAAGAACATTTGAGGGACAAGAACTTACGTAGTTGATTAGAAAAAGAATCTTTGACAAAGGAATGTTAGAATAAAATGGCTAAATTTGTACAAAATTAGTTAACGTTCTACAGAGCACTAGAACCATAACCTGTGTGGTTAGCTTTTTCTAATGGACAGAAATCTACAGGTTTACATGTAACTTGGCTGTGTCTGAAAGCCAAATATTGGTACATTCCCCAAGTAGTTAAATAGTCTCTAAGGGAGTCTGTTAAACGATGTCCCAAGATGCCATGGGGACAGGCCTCCCACCTCTAGCCATATTTCCCAGCTGACATTTTTCTTCCTATTAGGTCTTGCATACAGAGGTAACAGCAGATAGCCTTCAAGAGCTTCTTCAAGCTGTCATTATTCTGCTGATCTCTTGGGTCATGCCCACGTATGTCTGTCTTCTGTTGTTACTTCTGTTTTTATCATGCCACTTTGGACGAGATGTGCTTCTGCACTGGCCTGATTTTAAACTGTGATTCTTTACAAAGGACAGTAGCAGGAGTTGGCAATTCCCCTTTGATCTCATTACAAGGAACTCAGCCTACCAGAACATCCCTCTCTTCACTGAGCCTGTAACACGGGAGTTCAAGGTCTTCACTACCTCAGAGTCCACTGTGGAACTTGCTTCTAAATTTTTGTTTAGTAGATAAGGCGTGGTGTCTGGTGCCTTGTATTTTTACCAAGATAAACAGGAAGCTTTAAAGATTGTCTGCTGACATTGGGGAAATACTGGTTTTAGGGTTTCAGCAACTTTTGAAGCAGATTTTCATTTTCTGTTGTCCTGGATCCGGGAGAGGATTGATTTCGGTTTTTGGAGGAAAGCAAAGTCCTGCCATGTAAGACTAATCCCTCATCAGCACGTTTGACTTCAGTAAACAAATCCATCTCTATCTTGCCTGAGAAAAGGAATAGAATGCATTTCAATTGCAAAACATCTTTAAAAAATAAATTTTGTTCCTGGAGACAGGCTGAGCCTCTATGCCAGAAACTAGCCTATGTTCGCAGGCTTCATCGAGTGTAGCTCCCTCTGCAGGAAGTCACGATTTCCATCGGGGTATAGCCAATCAATGTAGCGATAACATATTATTTTAGGGTTGAACTGGCTTATGATTATATCAGACTTTATCTCAGCAGATTCTGAAAACTAATCTCGAGTCCTACGGTGAGTCATGACAGGCTCTTATGAAATCTGTCTCGACTGCAAGCAGATACATGGTTCCTGCCCACAGATGTAGATTAATCCCTTTGGGCACCTGCCTGCAATTCCAGTGTGGACTCTCTGGAGACAGATGGTGTGATCACTGGGGCAGGGTCCATCCTATGAGGACTGATTCTTTCCCTTTAGGGAGAACACAGCAACAAAGCATAATTTTTTCTGGAAAAAGTCTTGATTAACGGAGAGGCTTAAATTGCTTCTTCAGTAGGACAAGTAAACGAGAAAGAAAAGAAAGAGAATAGAACAAAGACCTCTGACACACTGTTTATCAATCCACTGCAGTTGTCACTCACTGCGTCCCCAATCCTTGGCTTCCTTTCTCTCCACCTTTCCCCCTAAAGTGCTCAGAGGAGCCCACTGCTCCATTCACTGTTCTGTGGATTTTCATGAGAAACTCAGGTATTGGCTTTAACCACTCCCTGCATTGCAGTCTGTAGAAATCTGTACTGGTCTCCTTAGTGAGTCTGAGCCTTTACTCACCTGCTGATCTGTCTACTTAGCAATTGCCTATGAAGAAAAGCTGAGAGTTACTCTCTTTGGGAGGACATTTAGATCCCATTAAGAAACAGACAAAAACCTGAATTCTCAGATCATATCCATAGTTCATGTATCAGTCATTTTCATCACAATGATGCTACATAACAAATAGCTACAAAATGTCAGTGGTCTACAACAATAAGCATTTATTGCTTATGTGTCTGGGTGGTCACCCGGGTGGTCTTAGCTGGGCTGGCTCACATGTCTGGGGCTAGGCTGGCTGTAGACTGATCTAGGCTGGTTGTTATGAGTTTAACTGTCCCCCCATATTTCAGATATTGAAATCCTAACTCCCAGTACTTCATAATGTGACTTTATTTGGAAATACAGTTGCTTATTATTGCTTTATGCAGTTGTCTTTTAAGTCAAATAAAAGAAAATAGTTTCAAAACCCATTTCTGATAAAGGACTTGTATATAAAATATACAAAAACTCTTAACTTGAACACAAGAAAACAAAGAACCCAATTTAAAACATAGGCAAAAGATCTGAACAGACACCTCACTACAGAGATAATATAGAAGGAAAATAAGCATATGAACAGATGTTAAACATCGTAGAGAAATGCATATTAACACAACAATGAGATCCCACCACACACCTATTAGAATGGCCAAAATCTAACACACCTGACAACACAAATTGCATGTGAGGATGCAGAGCAACAGGAAGTTTCATTTATTGCTGGTGGGAATGCAAACTATTACAGCAACTTTGCAGGAGAGTTTGTCAATTTCTTACAAAGCTAAACATTGTGGTACCATATGATCCATCAATTGTGCTCCAACTCATTTGAGAATTTACAGCCACACAATGCATGTGTGCATTTAAAGCATTTGAACCTTTATATATATAGCATGTGAACCTTTATAGCAGCTTTGTCATAAATCCCAAAATTGGAAGCAATCAAGATGTCATTCAATAGATGCGTGATATATCCATACAATGGAATACTATTTATTCCAAAGAGGACTGAGCTATCAAGCCATGTAAAAGTATAGAAACATCTTAAATGCATATTTCTAAGTGAAAAAGCCAGTTTGACAAAGATTCCATTTTTGACATTCTGGAAAAAGCAAAACAATAAAGATAATAAACAGACCAGTGATTGCCAGGGATGTTGGGAGTGGGGAAGGTAGAAGAGGTAAAGCACATGGGATTTGTTAGAATGGTAAATTTGTTAGAATGGCAAATTTGCTAGAATGGTAAACTAATCTGCATGGTATTCTAATGGTGGATACATGACATTATGCATTTGTCAGAATCTACGGAACCTTACAACACAAAAAATGACCTTAATGTTTGCAAATTAAAAGTAGTTTCAGGACAAGAAGCTCTGACAAGGAGCAGAATCAGAAATCTACAGAGCTGAAAATACAGATCATTTCTTATGGAAAAGGAAGCATAACTCGGAGTTCAGAGCCAAGAGCCCAAAGGGCAAGCAGAGAGAGATGATAAATTAGTCTTAGGAAGCAGAACTGGACTCCATTTGAGACTGGTGATATGCCCACTTGGATATCAAAATTTCTGTGGAACGGTGATTATTATATGCCTCCTGTTCCATTTTTTGGAAAATAACTATCCCTAGGCTACTGTTAAGTGGGCTCTTGTGTAATCCCATCCTTTCAAATCTGGGTTGGCTCCATGATTCTATTTTGAGCAATAGAATGCAGCAGCTAAGCAGTGAAGACCAATAGAGCACAGCAACAAGCAGTGAAGAACAATAGAACACAGCGACAGGCAGTAAGGACCAGGAGAACAGAGCAACTTGCTGTGGAGACCAGTAGGACACAGCGACAAGCAGTGAGGACAAGTAGAACACAGCGACAGGCAGTGAGGACCAGGAGAACAGAGCAACTAGCAGTGAGGACCAGGAGAAGAGAGCAACTAGCTGTGGAGACCAGTAGGACACAGCGACAAGCAGTGAGGACCAGCAGAACACAGCAGCAAGCGGTGAAGTCTTGCAGCTTCTGCCTGTCCCACAGCACCAGCTGCCCTTCAGTTGATGGTGAATAGAGATCTGATTAGCATCATTCAATGGCTGTCAGGAATTTTGATGAAAGACTAGATGTCACTGCTTTTGTGGATAATAATTTTTAGGTGAATCACTCATATTTAAATCGTTCCATTTATTTTTGTTTTTAAAAGCATCACAAAATTTGTTTAAAATGTTTGTATTTTAATGAGTCTTAAGTGAGATATTGTCTATGTAGAAGTACAGCTCAAGATAAGCTTTGATTGGATGACATTTGGTAAGAAAAAAATTGCCTTCAGAAATTGTTGGACTCTGGGTCTGAATTGAAGAAATAAGAACTTGAGGGAAGTGAGTGTGTTGCTTGGCAACATGAGTTTGCTTCAGAGAATCTCTTCTAAGGGATGTGCTTATGTTTTCCTCTTGTTTGTTTCACCATCTTGCTGAAACAGAAGCACCTGTTTCTTCAGTGAACGAGGAAATGACCTTCTAGCAGGCTAGGCCTGCGACTCCCGGACTTCAGCGTGAGGATCTTCCATGGAAATCCCACTATGAATGGCAGTAAGACTTGATCCTCACCTGTGGTTCTCCTGAGTTCAGTAGAGAGAAGCAAGTAGCCCCAACAGATGCAGCAGAACATGTTAGAGGTCAGATAATAAAGAGGACGTCCACCCCTCTCCACCCAAGAAAACTAATCAGAACAACAAAATACCGTGAGTTCTCTAAAGCTTAAGAAGTGACAAGAAATAGGAATTCCAAGCAGCCCAACCTCTTCACCAGGAAGTTAAGGGTTGTGTTGAAATCATTGATCACTATTGACCAGGATTCTGTCATGAATCCTGTGTCCAAAATGCTGTTGCCACATTTAAAAAGCTGGCTAAATTATGCCTCTTCCTTCTGAGTATTCCTAAAGGTGGGGGGATCCTATCCAAAATATAATGACTTTAAAAACATCATCCTGAGGTTCCACAAAGTAGAACCACCTAGTGTGCTGGCCCCAACTCCAGCTTTCTGCTGCAGAACTCTTCCATTTGGCTGCTCAGCTCTCTTTCCTCCTTTGAGTAACAGCACCGAGATTTTCCCACACTCTCAGTCTATGTGACTGTCTTGAATAATGCCACTCCAGCTTACGAAATAATCATGAGACACTGGCCTAGCCAATCAGAATGCTAGCAATTGGTTAGGAATTGGCAGGTGATGCAATCAGAACCAATGAAAAGTATAACATTTGGACTTCTCTTGACACTGTTTTGAAAGAGATGTTTTCTTTCCCCAGCAAGGTGCAGCTGGCAGAGTGCAAACCTGGAGCTGCTGGTGGCCTTCCTGCCACTTGAAGAGACCCTGGGAATGGAGCCAACACAGGGACATGCAGAGAGACAAACTTCTGACAATAACACTTAAATACTTGGATGCTGTCATTTCTGAAGCTTCTGACAATAACACTTAAATACTTGGATTCTGTCATTTCTGAAGCTGTGTTGATTCCTGTGCTATTCATTTTGTAAGTCAGAAAAGTCTCTTTTATTTTTAAATGAGTTTGGGTTAGCTTTTAATTAGTTGTAAACATAAGGATTCTGACTAAAGTAGTCACCAAATGAGAATTGTTTGTGTAGATTACATCAGTTGTCTGCTGCTATGTAACAAACCACCACAAAATGACCATTTTGCTCCCATGTCTGTAGGTTGGCAGGTAGGGGTCAGGGTTGGCTGATCTAGAGTGGGGTTGACTGGCAACTCTGCTGGTCTTGGCTGGGCTTCCACGCTCATCTGGCAGTCAGCTGGTCTGGGCTGGGGGATTAGTTTGGCCCTGCTCCATATGTCTCTCCTCCTCCTCCTGAGGCCAGCTGGCTGGGGGAAGCATATTTTTCTCATGGCCATAGCAGAAGCGCCAGTGCACAGGCTGGACCACACAGGGCTGTTCAAGGCTCTGCCTGATCATCTGGCACCATCCCGCTGGCCAAAGCAAGTCACACGGCTCAGCAGAAAAGGTGGCTGGGAGGTGTCCCCCCCACAGTGGGAAGGTGCTAGTGCTTAGCGTGGAGGGAGGAGAATCTGGAAACAGTTGTCTAGTCTATTGCGTTTACACTGAGGGGGAGAACTTCGCAACAGCCACCCCAGCTGATCCTAGGCACACTCAAATTTGGGAACTACAGGCTTAGTGCTATGGTTCTCAGAGCTAACTGACTCATCAGGGGCTCGAAAAATTCTGAGGCTTAATCCCAGCCCAGAGGTTTTCATTTCATGGGATCTGGACGTTGGTATTTTAAAGAAAATTATTCCTGGTTGAGAACCACGCTCCTAGAAGAACTTGGGTTCCAGAGGGAATCACTGTTATGTTTCTCCTGTCTGCTGACGTCTTTTATAGAGATGAAATCAGAGGAGAGTGTGAATGGAAACCAAACCACAGAGAAGCAGGTCTTCCAGACCCGTCCGTAGACAAGTGTTCATTGAGTATCTCCTCCATGCTGGTGTTTTCCTGGCACGGGAGGAAGTTGTGGCAGATACTGGAGGTGCAGACTTGCCTGCAGGAACTGAGTCCTCAGGAAGACGATGATATGTACATATTTACAAAGTATTAATAAAATGACGACAAGTATGCGAAGTGCTACAAAACATGGGTATAGCCTGCTGTGAGGACGAGTGACAGAGACCTGTGTCCATGTGCAAATCCACCCACCACAGCAGGAAGCGAGTGCAGAGGAAAGGAGGGACGTCGTAAATGAGAAAGGCACAGGCACGGCTGGTTTTGTAACTAGTCTCTCCTCGCGAATCCTTTTGTGTCATTACTGCTTAGTCACTCGTCTTAAATTGAAGGGATGCAGCAGGAGTCATTTCTTAGAACTGTTCTAAGAAATGTGAGAGAGCTGTGCCATTAATGACATCTTCGGAAGGGTCATGAGCTGGAATCCCGGCAGCCTGCTCAGGTTAACCTCTGTCGATCCCAATTGACTCCAGCCCTCGAGGGAGTAAAAGCATTTCTCTGGTGTCACATGAACCACATCGTGCATAACTCCATGTGATGCTAAAGCTGACTCTGTTCAACAGTGAGACTCGTTAAAAGTCACAGTCTTTAAATCAGAGGCAGGGTTATAATTCGTTCCACCTGGCAAGACTGCCATTTGGGTTGATGTTCTACCAGGTGAGAATTTTAGGATAAATTCTGCCCAAACAGAATCACTATCAGCAGAAACAGCTGGCTTTTTAGTCCTGGAATTATATATCTTCCTTGCCACCTAGTTTCACAAAGTTATTATAAGACTTACTTAGTTACTCACTATTAAATCTATAATGTTTCTGAATTCATCAGAAATGAGTTCGTTGCCAGACTGACTTACTAGAGGCATTAAGTGATTTCTAACTGACTTTTTGATATTTTACCTACTGGGGACATTTAAAATTTATTTAAACATTTTAAATCAAAAGATTCCAATGTTTTCAATTTTGCCTATTCAATGATCTTTCCATGATCTCTGCAGAAATAAGTAAATCAGTTCATTTTAATTTAATCATTTGACGAGTTCAAAGACTGTTTTGGGAGGATTCTTAAGGGCGTCCTTGTGAGTGACCTTGAAAGCTCTCTTAGGATTCTCTGCATCACAAAATAGAAACCAATAGGATTTAACAGTTCCCTCGTTTGTTACCCATGAAATATGAGTTACATCCTCACTGATATTCCAAAAATTTAATGAATAAAATTGAGGGATAAATTAATATAATAAAATTACAAAATAAAAGGTTAATTGGAAAGTCATGACGAAGGCAAATAAAAAGGAGAAGCAGCTGGGACTGAGGTGGGAGGAAGGTCTCAAATTTGGGATTAAAGATTGTAGAAGCCAGTGAAAAGGGGAAGCATCCTAATAGGAACGCAGAGAAAAATTTCCCCCTTGGACCCTTACAAAGAGACTCGGTGAGTCATTCCTTCCAGAAATATTTCTACGTGGCTACGTCGGCGCTGTTTTAGATGTTGGGATACGACAGACAGCAAAAGCAGGAGGTCCTGCTTCATGAGATTTACATTCTATTGCAGCAGATAAAAGAAAGCAAAACAAAGCATGTGTATCAAATGCTGATAAATGCTGTGAGGGGAAAAATGAAGACAGATAAACGGGAGCGATGAGGGTGGGGGGTGGCGGTCAGTGAAGCTTCTCCGATGATATGACGGGGTTTGACCCTATGCTCAAAAACATAAGGGATTGAGCCACCTGGCTATTTGGACGAAAAGCTTTCCAGGCCAAGGTGAGAACAAGTACAAAGCCCACAAGGTACCAGCACGCATGATGTGCTCTGTGACTCGCAAAAACGCCGGTGAGGCTGGAAGGAAGGAGAGTGCGAGGTTTTGTTCTGAGATGGGGAGCCGTTTGGAAGGTCTGGATAGGTCAATGGCATGATCTAACTTATATTTTAAAGGATTGCCTGGGCTGCTGTGTGGCGATTAGACTGTGGAAAGGAGAAGGAAGTGGGGAGATCTGTCAGGGTTCTTTCAAGATAGCTCTGACAAGAGGTGATGGTGGCTGAGGTGAGGAGGTAGCAGTGAGGGTGGAGAGAAGTGGTGGATTCTGAATATGCTTTGAATATAGAGGCGGCTGACTCGTGGAGTATCAGAGAAAGAGAAGACTCTGAGATGGCCCAAGGATTCTGGCCTGAGCCTCTGGAAGAATGGAGAGGCCATTGATGGGGAGAGGATAGTTGGGAAGGAGTTGACTTGCAGTTTATCTTTCAAGGCAACTTGCAATGTAAATAAATAAATAAGTTGTCATATACCTTGAGCAAAGAGGCTAGAGATGGGATAAGGATAAATGAGGTCCCCGGAGGACCGGGAAATCAAAACCAAGAGAGCAGAGGATCTGAATGTGCAAACTGCAAACCACAGAAGAAATATCAGTAGCCGATTAAGGTAGGAAAGAGTGTACCTCAGGGATAGTGAAAGTATACAAATTAAAACAGTGGGGTTTTCATAGACTGATAATACTCAGCGTTGACTGTTGTGTGATGAAAATGGCATTCTCCTCTGCTAGGGGGTGCTGTCGGGGGGTGGGTAGGGCCGTAACTTTGTTGAACGGCAGTTGGAATTACTCGTTAACTTTGTGTCTGAGGCCACTGCTAACTCATAAGAGGACTTTATGTAGACAAGAAAAAGTGGCCCTTCTTCAAAACATTTTGTGGTCTTAACTAGAAATTTATAATGCTCACGCTGTGAACAATGCCCCTGGAATTGTGCAGTGTACAACTACACTCAGAGTCCCTGTGCTCTTAACTGGCTGTCCACCAACACTCACATCCTGTGCCTGCCTCTCAAGAGCTTTCTCATCCTCTCTCACAGGTGGGGTTGGCCGTGAGACCCACTTCTGCCCAATGAGACATAAAGTCTCTGCTGGGGGCGTTTGGGAAATAACTTTCTTTACTGATAAAGGATGTATTGTAGCAAAAAGAGTTTCCCTCTTCACCTCATCTCCTGCTTGCTTCCTGCTTGGGAGGCTGCTGCGTATGGATGAGATATTTGGATCTGCTGCAGCCAGCTTGACACTATGAGGAGAAGGACAAGAGAACTGCAGAGGCACGCATCTAGGATCCCGATATTGTTAAGCTGCTTAATCCAGAACCACCACCAAATTTCTTATAAAGAGAGGTTAATAATGAATATCTTTTTGTACATGACACTGCTGTTTGTGGCTGAAGGCATCCTAGCCAATCTCGGGATTGCAACAACAAAAACTTACTCTGTAGGAACCTATGCAGAGGACACAGGAACAGAGAGACAGACTGAAGCATTATTTGCAGTAACGAGAAAATTCAAAGAAGCAAATGCCAAACAATAGGGGATTGCTTAGCTAAATCTGGATCATTCAACAGTGAAATTCTATTTAGTCACTAACCAAAATGAGAAAATTCTGTGTACTAACATGGGCCAGGTTTAGGACACATTGCTAAATTTAAAAAGGAAAATTACTTTAAACAGTCTAGTTCTACTTAATTCTGGGGAAATTTGGCGCATGCCTATCTAAGTTGCTGTAAATGAAGAGAGCAAGGAGCTGACGTTTGCTCCTGGGGAGCAGAAGCAGCAGCCAGCTTGGGCCCTGGGAGTTTTCCAGGCAAAGTTGTAATTGTCTAGTGAACACCAGAAGAGCAAAAATATGAGAAACTGTGATGTTGACCTGTAGAAAACATACAGCATTCACGTATTTCATATATATATGTGTACACACACATGTATAATGAAGATGCTAGAGAATAACAGCACGTTTCTGCAATATGTGTTGTTATCCAAGAAGACAGTCTATTAATTTTAATAAAACACGTACATAAATGTGCCTAATGGCTGTAACGAATTCTTAAATAATATCAACGTTTATACCAACTTCTAAACTTTGAAAATTACCTCTTGCCCATTGCAATTGTAACTACTATTTGTATAGCACTTTATAGGTTACTTCCTCTACCATCCTGAGTCCAAACATCCATGCAAATGAGTCACAAAGAATTTCAAAAC